AAGATATTGTTATTCATTGAGAGTCTGTCTGAACGGGACACCTCTTTTAAAGGGACGGATTTGAAATATATTTTGGATTTCCTATACCTATAACTGAACTACACTTAGAGGAACCCGCTTTATAAGAGACACTTTGGCAATGCATCTGCCCGTTCCCTTTGGAAAAGTTGCATTGTATTACATGTTTCTTACTATAGTAAGGCATATGTTATCTTTTTAGGTTCTAAAATTATAACTTGCAGTATTTATACCACTGATCAGCATTAATAGCATTTACTCCTAACAATGTACAGGGTGGGTTTTAAGTAAGTCTTTTTTAAAAAGCTAATAACTCCTTAACTAAAAGAGATATTTCATTCAAATTTTTTGCATAAGATACACAAAAGTATGCGATGCTTGAATCAGGTTTTCAAAATTTTCGACATCCATGGAAATCACGTGGAATACCAATGTTTTAAAAATTGCCACTTTTCGGACAATTATGTCATATTTTAGAGATCGCCATTACTATGAATGAAAACAAGTTGAGCACACATCCCATACATCTATTTACATAGTTTAGCAAAGTGTTTTCAATTTTGAGTTAATAATTTAGAAATGGCGCGATTTTTAAAAACAAGCATACAGAATAAAAGTCGCATTGTTTTTTGAAAGTCGCGACAGTTGCAAATTATTAACTCAAAATGGAAAAAACTTTGCTAAACTATTTAAGTGGTTGTATGGGAAGTGTGCTTAACATGTTTTCATCCATTGTAATGGCGATCTCTAAAACATGACATAATTGTCCGAAAAGTGGCAATTTTTGAAACATTGGTATTCCACGTGATTCCCATGGATGTCGAAAATTTTGAAAACCTGATTCAAGCATCGCATACTTTTGTGTATCTTATGCAAAAAATTTGAATGAAATATCTCTTTTAGTTAAGGAGTTATTAGCTTTTTAAAAAAATACATACTTAAAACCCACCCTGTATTATATACTTTATAGAATACAGTACATATGATTGATAATTAGATTTATGCACATTGTTCATATTAAATTACCGATAATAATTTAAACATGTTAAATATATTTTGCGTAAAATCTTATTTATTAAATATTCTGAATTTTAAATGCATAAGTTTGAAATTCCAAGTTTTTAAGTTCTGTTCGCACTAATCCAGTCCAACAATGAAACCACGTTTGTGTAAACACCGGGATGTGTGGCCAAAGCACAACTTCTTCCCCACGAAACCACGCCATACAACACACCGTTCACTGTGAGGGGTCCACCAGAATCGCCCTGGTTATTTGTAAAACAAAATAATGAATTTTACAATTTTGTAATGATCATCTTGATCATCTTGATAAATGAAAATGGGATCAATTGTAATTGAATATAAAATGTGTTGCACACCTGACAGGCATCTTTGCCGCCCCCGTTCACGGCTGCGCAAATCATGCGTTCGGTGATGGATCCGGCGCCGTAGTTGGTGTTGCAGGTGCTTCGGGCAACAATGTTGACGTTGACGCGTTGCAACGCTGCGGGCAAAGTGCTGGAACCGGCGCGAGTGGTACCCCAGCCCGCAACCAACACTTCGGCGCCATTCGCGAGTTCAGCGGTGGGCAGAGTTACGGCCTTAACGTTAGTTCCGTCCAAAGTTAGGGATGAACTGAGTTTAAGGATC